ATGGAAAGAACTTTAAACAAAAGAAAGATGAGATAAACACTCTGATTTTGATTAGTTCATAGCCTAGTTAGGAAACTAAGAAATAATTTCACTATAGTTTAATCATGTATGTCTTTTTAAAGTGAAATAAGAATAAAGCCTCTTTTTAATTCCTGGAAGGGTTAGGAAGGCACTCCTTGTCCACAAGGCAATGAACACTTCACTCTGGCCACGACAGATGCATAGGTGTTCAACCTTAAGAGAATGAAAAGAGAACTGGCTTCCTGAACAAGTTGTATAAATGTTATTTTTTTTAAATTATATTTTATTGATTAGACTATTACAGTTGTCCTGATTCTTCCTCCTTTGCCCCCCTCCACCCAGCACCCACCACTCCCTCAGGCAGTCCCCCCACCATTGTTCACGTCCATGGGTCATACATATAAATTCTTTGCCTACTCTATTTCCTATACTGTACTTTACATCCCCTTAACTATTCTGCAACTACCTATTTGTATTTCTTAGAACCCTCACCTCCCCATCTGGCACCTTCCGGTAACTAACTTCTTTTCTCTCACTTTTAAGAGTCTCTCTTTACCTTTAACCTTTGGCCGTTTAATAATGATGTGTCTTGGAGTGGGCCTCTTTACATACATCATAAATGGAACTCTCTTTGCTTCCTGGACTTGCATGTCTATTTCCTTTACCAAATTAGGGAAATTTTCTTTCACTTTTTGTTCAGATAGATTTCCAATTTCTTGCTCTTTCTCTTCTCTTTCTGGCACCCCTATGAGGCAAGTGTAGAACCTCCTGAAGTTGTCCCAGAGGCTGTTTATACTATCCTCATTTTTTTAGATTCTTTTTTCTTCATGTTGTTCTGTGTGGTGGTTTTTTGGTTCCTTATGTTCCAAAGCATTGATTTGATTCTCAGCTTCATCCATTCTACTGTTGTGTTCCTGTAAATTGTTATTTATTTCAATTAGTGTATCCTTCATCTCTTACTGGGTCCTTTTTATGCTGCTAAGGTCCTCGCTAAGTTCCTCGAGCATCCTTACAACCAGTGTTTTTTGAACTCTGCATCTGATAGATTGTTTATCTCCATTTCATTTAGCTCATTTTCTGGAGATTTTATCTGTTCTTTTATTTAGGCCACATTTCTTTGTCTCCTTGTTTTGGCAGCCTCCCTGTGTTTGTTTCTATGTATTAGATAGAGCTGCTTTGACTCTGTGTCTTGGTATTGTGGCTTAATGTAGTAGGTGTCCTGTAGGGTCCATGGCACAGCCTCCCCTATCACCCAAGATAAGTACTAGAGGTTTGCCCTACATGTGGGCTGAGTACACCCTCCTCTTGTAGTTGAGACTTGGTTGCTGTTGGCAGATCCATGGGAGGGGTTTACCCAGGCCAGTCAGCTGCAAGGACTGGCTGTGACCACTGACCACCAACCTCTGCCCTCCGTGGAGGATCTGCTGTGCAGGGCAGGGTGGTGGTGCTCTGATGTGGTCTGTAGCTGTGCACTAGGTATGTTGGCTTTGGAGTTTCCCAGGTGGTGCAGGCCAAGGTCAGCCCCAACCTGTGTTTTGTCTGGGGCACCCTGCCTGAGCTGTAAAGCAATCTGAGATGGCTGCTACTTGTGCTGGGCTTGGAGATTCCCAGGTGAAGCCAAGCATTGACTCTAATCTGGCTGCTGCCAAGGCTCATTGAAGTTAGCTGTTGCTTGTTTGATGGGATTTAGGCACCAAGACCAGCCATACTTATGCAAAACAGGTTGGGTGGGCCAGTAGGTTGGGTGGAGTATAGAGCCTCTAAGGATCTCCAAGGTGGATCAGACAGTGTTAGCCAGGTTGGTGGATTCTCAGATATGGCACCAGCCTACCAGTCTATGGGGGAAGGGCTCAGTAAAGGGACAATGGCCTCTGCTTGCCCCAATGCCAGACTCTTCAGCCTTTCCCTGTATACCACTGGTGCCCTTCAAGCTGCCACTCTAGTGCTGGAGCTCAGAGGAAGCGACTCTGAGTAGGTGAGTCCATGAGTGGGTTCTCCAAGAGGAACTGCTGAGGGCTCCAGCAGCCTCCTCCAACAACTCAATCCCCACTAGTTTTTGCAGCCAGAAGTTGTAAGGACTTATCTTCCTGGCACTGGAAGCCTGGGATGGGGGGCCTGGTGTGGGTCTGAGACTCGTTACTCCAAGATATCCCTCCCAAATTTTTATCTATGGGTGCAGGACCAGCCTGCTCACTATCCACGCCCCTCCTGCCACTCTGGATGGATGTGGTTTCTTCAATTCCATAGTTGTCAGACTTCCATTCAGCTTGATTTCTGACATTCCTGAGTGATTGTTGTCCTATATTTAATTTGTAATTTTGATGTGGTTGTGCAAAGAGGTGAGCCATGTCTGTCTAAGTCACCATCTTGACCGGAAGCCCCTCAATGTTATTTTATATAAAGGGGAAGAATAGTGCAAAAACATGGTGTGTTTAGAGATGAGCGAGTGTAAGTCTGTGTGGTTAGGCAGAAAGTGACAAAGGCTAGCACTGGAGAGGCAGGCTGCAGGAACAGTCCATGTGCCATGCTTAGCATGAGGGGAAGGAACAGAGAAGTGAAACTCTGGAGTGCAGATACTGAGTGTGAACTTCATTCTAGACACCTTCTGTGTGATGGAGTCATCTTCTGTGAGATGTAGAGAGCTGGATAGCATAGGGGTGAACAGGGTATGTATGCTCTGAAATTGCAGCTGAACACAGGCTTCCATTGACAACTTCCTTTCTGCCAAATATTAAAGTCACTCCTCAAGGTCAAAGGTTAGTTCTGAATAGCTAAAAAAAATGAGTTATACAAAACATTGAGAAGAATAAAAATTTTAATAGAAACAAATAATATTCCATGTCAGGATAACAGCAAATAATGCATAGATGCACACTCTGGGATTGGTGATTTGCCTATTTAAAGTGTAGAAGTTTAATTTGACTGCCAATAGACTGTTCCTTCCATCTGTGGACATTATTTTCCAAATGTCAGGGAGAATTTTCTCTCTGCTTTATAGCAGTTTTGCACCAGACAAAAACGGATGTATTTGTCTATATCTTAGAAGACGCCATCTGTATTTGTCAAACTTCCTGAACATTGCCGGAATCTGGGCTGTGTGCCTTGCTTAGATTTCTCCTGGTGACTTACTATCAATGACCACATGTGAAGGACAAAGCCTCCTCAGGGTTGAGGGGGTATGAGGTGAGGACACATGACACAGTTCATGTGTTAAATTCTCAGTTTATCACAGACAGATGACCCGGCTTGTGGACCACACAAGTCCCCTTCCTTTGTCCTGCTACCTTTTTAGTGCTTTTTGGAAATTCTACCAGATGGTGAGAGGAGGAATTTAAAAAAAAGAAAAGAAAATAGAAAAAGAAATGCTTAAAGTTTTTGGCTATGGGGTTTCTAAGAAAATCTGATTTTAACTTTGGTACATAAGTGGAAAGACATAATAGCTCTACATATGTGTCAATTCTTATCACAATAGGCTATTTTTCTTAAATTTCTGTAACCGAAGGTTGGCTTTAAGTCAGACATGGCTTTGTGAAGGTTGTGAAATGGAAAGGGAAGGGATGGCAAGGCAGAGGAAAGTGTGGAGCAAAGATCCATTGCACATTCTGAACTAAGCTCCCCGTTGACTACTGATGCAAAGCTCCACTAGGCAACGAGTAGGCGCTCTGCTCTATACCACGGTGACCCTTGGCCGAGGAGGGCCCTCAACTGTTCTTACCAGCATCACATGAATGACACAAATGTCTATTCAGAGATGACCCAGATTCCAAGGAAATGCGTGAGCTTGTAGAACAGGTTCAATGTCCTTGGCTGGTGGGAATGACAGAATTTTAGGAATAGAGGAAATTTCTTCTGTGGACGAGTAAACGAGAACCTCGAGAAGGCAAATCCCTGGGTCACAGTCATCCAGGCGCTTCTGTTAGAACCGAGCCCTGAGCCCGCCCCCCAGCTGCCTCCCTGAGCTGTTGGTGAATTTCCTCATGTTAAAATCCCAGGTGTCAAAATGACGTCAATACCCGTGATACGTCACGATGAGAATGCCACTTCACCTCTGTTCTTCCTCCCCCAAACCCATAACCCTAGTCTAATTTTTTTAAAAAGAAAAGGACAAATGCCCATTTGGGGATGTTCTACAAACTACCTGACCAGCACTCTTTAAGGCAGTCAGAACAAGGTCACCAAAACCACACAAAATCTAAAAACCGTAACTGCCAAGCGGAGCCTAAGGAGACATGACGAGTAAACGTATGTGGTGTCCGGGATGGGCTGCCCAGAGAGAAAAAGGCTGCCGGATAAAAATCAAGGAAATCTGAATAAAGTAGAGACGCTAGTTAATAATTTCCCAAAACAGAGGAGCCCTTCAGCAGCTCCGAGTCCCCCGCCCAGGGAATCAAGAAGGCTTCTCTGCAGCCATCTTACTAGCTAAGTCAGGAAAAGCAACTCGCTAAAAAAAGCAAATTTAGCCTCCAGCAAGGCACCTCTGCACCATTATGCTATCCTTATTATTTTTATGTTCTCACAAAAATTTTACAAAGCCTCTACATTTCATACATAAGAAGACGGAGGCTTTCAGATTCTTGTTCAGGCCCCGTTAACTGTTAAGCGAAACAGCTGAGATGTAAACCTAGGTCATTTGAATCCCAAAGCCTGCGTTCTTTTTGGTCCCACTTTACAGGCTGCTACCAATTCAGTTTTATCCTTTGGGAGTAGGGGAGGAAAACCTACATCCTATGGCTACTTTGTAAATGGAAAATGTAGGCAACTATAATGACATCAGAATGAAACCTGTAAGAATATTATTCTGATCTAATGTGGAGATTCTCATGGGCATCAATAATTATCACAGAATTTTCTATTCAAATGTTCCTTTCAGGAATATATCATGATGGAAAAGACTAACTTATATCAATCATTCATTTTTATTGCAACATTAACAGGAACTGTTTTACTAGCTTATTATTTCCCTTTGTGGCTTTGGAAGCTCAATCAGCTTTGTTCTCTTTGGACATGAGTACTGCAGAAAACAGACAGAGTACCACAGAGCAAATTCCAATTATCTTATAAAATAGGAACTATTTTACTTTGTTTTAGTTGTTTGCTTAAGAGATTCTCTCTGATTAAAGAATTATAATTTAATATGCAAAAGTAAATTTTCCTTTACATTATTTCACAGTTCATTTCTCTTCTCTTTCGTGTGCTTGTAAATACCATGAGGCTGATTCGTATTCCTGGCTCGGGGAACAATAGTTGGTGCATCCCTCTGAAAAACTAAGCCATGCTTCATTGCACTTCTCTCCTCCACCTTCTCAAACTGCAAGTTACTCTGAATATTTCAGCAAAATCAGACTACATCTTCTATAGGAAAATGGGGTATGAAGGATGGAAAGCCAGGTACCTGTAGAGGCATATCCAAGGTCCATTCTTGGAGACGGGGCCGTGGCTGCTGTGTTTCTGGCGATGCTCTGTCCTGCTGCTGCCGTGAGCCTAGTGAGACCATGAGCCCGCCTCTTTATCACTAGTATGCTCCTGCTCTCATGGGAGGAGGGAGACACGAGAGCATTATGGCACTGTGACAGCAACAGCATTCCCTATCAGTTAGAGGGGATGTGTAAATCTCCCTAGCTCATGAGATATTTAAAAATAGGTATTAGGTCATGTGGTATATGTCTTTCTCCGACTGACTTATTTCACTTAGCATAATAATCTCCAGGTCCATCCATGCTGTCACAAAAGGTAAGAGCTCCTTTGTTTTTACAGCCACATAGTATTCCATTGTGTGAATGTACCACAACTTTTTTATACACGCATCTGTTGATGGGTACTTGGGTTGTTTCCAAATCTTGACTATTGTAAATAACGCTGCAATAAACATAGGGATGTGTATATTCTTTTGGATTGGTACTCCGGGTTTTTTCAGATATAGTTCCAGAAGTGGGATTCTTGGGTCAAAAGGCAGTTACGTTTTTAATTTTATGAGAAAAGTCTATACTGCCTTCCACAATGGCCGCACCAGTCTGCATTCCCACCAACAATGCACTAGCTTTCCCTTTTCTCAACATCCTCACCAGCACTTGTTGACTTATTGATGATAGCCATTCTGACAGATGTGAGGTGACATCTCATTATGGTTTTAATTTGCATTTCTGTGCTGATTAGAGTGTTGAGCATCTTTTCATATGTCTATTGGCCATCTGTATGTCCTCTTTGGGTAAGTGTCTACTCAGGTCCTTTGTCCATTTTTAATTTAGATTGGTTTGTTGGTGTGGAGTTTTGTAAGTTCTTTTTAAATTTTCAATATTAGCCCCTTATCAGATGTATCAGCCAATATGCTCTCCCATTCAGTGGGTTGCTTTTTCATTTTGTTGATAGTTTTCTTTGTTGTGTAAAAATTTTTTAGTTTGATGTAGTCCTATTTGTTTATTCTCTGCACTTTAGGCTGTGAAAATATAACAGTGTAACAAGTTTGATGGTCAACTTTTGCTCTGTCTTCAAATTACGTAGAATTGAAAAGGCAACAGGCAACTGATGCAAATTTATGACTCAGCTGTTTTTTGACTGGAGTAAAAATAAAACAGTTCTTTGATATTAAAATATTTCTCCTTTATAACTTATAATTGCTGTTTAGATTTTTTGAAATTTTAAATATTAAAGGAGAGCAAGAATTTTTATTATGCTAAAATATTATACAAAAAATTAAAAAGAAAATGACTCACATGAAAGTATTATTCATGAAGTCAAATTCCTCTTGCTTCACTTGCTACTGAAAGGAACTATCATATTTACAGCAGAATTCCAAATCTAGAGGTGTTCTTAGCCACTATGTACTTGGTATGCAGAAAGTTCAGTCTTGCTGAAATCACTCATTCCTCGGTGCTCATTCTCTCTGCCGTTCCTGGGGAAGGGGCTAGCTCACACATAATGTACAGATGTGCAGGCCTGTCTAAAGCTTTTACCTCCCCCTGCTGGGGAGTCCATAGCTTTGCCATCCCTCTGGGGCTGACCTCCATCTCCCACTGGCTCCTCGCCCTCCAGGGATTTTAAATAAGTTTCCTTACCCCCCTGCACTCTCACAACTGTCTCTCAGACTGTCCACTTGATACTGTAATTTTCCCTTCCCTTCCTTATTTTTAATATATTCTAAACTCCTATGTGCCAGGCATTATGTGACATTTTCATAGACCTTTGGCGACGAGTGATCCCCAATCTAAACATGTGTTCAACCAGTTACAACAGTGTTCATGTTCTTTTCCAAAGCGTTGTGTGTCATTCAGGGCTCTAAACTCACTCTAAATTTTAGAAAGAAGGCGGCTCTCATTCTCTCAACAAATAATCAGGAATTCCCATGCTTTGTCCTTTTTCATTCCCAACAGGATATGAAAATAAGAAAAACAATCTTTGAGATCAAAAGGTGTGTCTCAACAAATGTTTCAATGTGTCTGAAATAGACAACCTTTTCTTTCAGGGACCCAGTGAGTCTGTGCATTGCCACAAAAGACCTCTAGGGGGCAGTATGGCCCAATGTTGCAGCTCTCAAGGATGTTAAGTATTTAAAACCTCACGATGATTTTTGTGCATTGGTTCATATCTATCTGGTTAATGAACAGTTTCTAGGAAGAAGGTCACTAAACAAGTAAGCAAGTTGTGTCATTTTATCATTCCTTCTTTGTCCTGTTTTTCTGGTGTGTGATAAATGGAAAGACAGCCCTCAGGGCAGAGTCCTACTTAGAAGAGCAGGATTTAGAAGTGATAGCGGAGGTAACAGACACAGAGAAAGTGCCTTAACTGGGAGATTTTTTTCCTTGTTGTAAGTCTCATTGAAGAAGCAAGAGGAAAAAAGGTGGGAATCCCTGATACTGGTTGAGAAACTGGTTGGCATTCTCCTGGATTTTATAGTGTATTTAGGGCATTCTGTGACTCAGAAAGGTCCTTAGGTGTGTGTTTGCCGTGAGGCATCAGTGAACATTCCCTGAGGAAAAGGGCCCAGCCAGGGGGGATGAGGATCCTGAGCAGAACCAGGCTGAGTTCACTGTCGACACCCAGCACACTGAGATCTAGCCCCTTGCGATTCTCTCCGTGGCAATTCAAACACTATGGAGCATTGTCAGGCTATAATAGTATAATATGTATACTAATCGTATAATAGTACAATAAGGATATTGTAGGTCACTAAATTTTGATGTTGTATTGTTTTAAAAAAATCTTAAGTTTTAGAAATTAATAACCATAAAGTATGGGAATTTAAGAATAACATGACTCCTTATAAAACAGGGATTTTCATGACATTAGTTCATGTAACTAAAGATTATAATGGCATTTACTAAATAAGATCTTTTAAAATATAATAGAAAAGGTGAGAAGATTTTGTAGAGAAACTGACATATTTGGCATATTTATCTATCTATATGACAAACATACCTTCCATGATGTGTTCTAGTAAAAGTCTGAAAACAGGTGGAATTAATTCTCGTGTATTTAGGACAAAGGGTTTGAAATATGACTGTCTTTGGAGTTAAAAAGTGGTGAAGGGGCTAAGGTTACTATAAATAACAGGAGAAGCAACAGTGTTCTTAAGTAAATCATATTATCAAGACATATCAATTACTAAAAACTTGAGAAAATTTTGCCAAATTACTTATCTAGGAGCTAAAGCTCAAATCAATGAAACCATTTTCTTCTTTTACTGCAAGAGTATATTACTAGTTTGTGCACCCACTAAGCATTACAGCCTCTAGTCATTGTGGATCTCACTCTGCCTCACTGTAAGACCTGAACAGTACTGGTAGTTTCTTCTGATACGCTCATCGCTCATCGGGTGCAGTCAAATACAGGTTTACCACAAAGCTAATGACGCTTAAGCTCCAGGTGCCTCCCTTGCCCAAGGCCCTGAGAGAGCTGGGAGGTGCTGGGAATTTTAAGGTCTTCCAGATAAGAAGGGTAATCCAGTCTTCCACTAGGAGCCCTTTGTGTGTGTGTGTGTGTGTGTGTGTGTGTGTGTGTGTGTAAGAAATTCTAATAATTGCCAAAAGAGATCTCAGAAGGGGCCTAAATTTGTAAGTCTATCATTTATTGGAATTTTCAAAGTCTGGTTTTCTTCCCTTTATACAAGGAAAACTGTTCTATCTTTATTCTGTGAAAAGCTCAAAACGTGCTGTGGTCTGTGGCAGTCAAGATAATGCAAATCATACCCCCTTTTAGAACAATTTCTAGAGGAACGTGCAAATAACCTTCCCAGGTGTTTGGTCCCCTCTTGTACTGTGTAGGAGTTACACAAAAAGGGGCATTTGAAAACATGAGTTCAAAAGAGCATTTTACCAACTCAAATCAGTACTACTTTTTAGATTTCATGGCCTAATTTATTGTTATTACATATACCAAAGGGAGAAAAAAAGAGAGGGCTGCCCCTGCATCCACAGTCAAGGAGGAGCTCGTGGAGGTGGGCTGCATGTCCCCTGAGGACACCTCCCCTCTGGTGCTAGCACCTCTTCTCCCCCAGGAGCGACATCTGCCGCTGGTACCAGGGTGACTTGATGCTCGTAGGCAATTCTCTATCAAATGGCACTGATGCTTGTGGACACGCTTTCATCAGATGGCATTGCGTACATATGCCTGTGGACGCCTGGTGACCGCTGCAGAATCGTGCCCTGCGTGATGAGGTTTGCGTAGCCTTCCTGGTGGGAGAAGGCATAGCTGGAGCGCCGGGCTCGTGGTGCCATGATGATCTCCTCACTTGGGACCTCCACCTCTTCTACCTCCTCCTCTTCCTCCTCCTGCAGAGCAAGGGGGCAAGCAAGGGTCATCAGGCTTGTGTTGGTTGTTCTTGGGTGACCTGCTCCCAGTGGGGGTCATTCATAATCCTTGGCTACCTTTACGGGCCAAGCTCTTCCCTCTTCAAGTTGACCCAACTAGAGTCTTCCCTGGCACCTGACTCTGGATCAGCTACCAGGTGCCTTAAGGGCCCTCTGTGACAAAGCCAGAAGAGGACACGGGGCAGCCGTGCCTCCGGCCGACGCGGCAGAACATGACAGGTCTGTGACCGTATCTTGGTCCACTATTCCAGTCACCTGTGTAGCGCATCCCAGCCACAACTGGTCCTTCTAGGTTTCTGTTACCTAAGCCAATAAGTACCCCCTGCCTTTTTTCATTGTGGTAAAATAGACATAAAATGCACTTATTTCTAATATTTTTTAAGTGTACAGCTCCAAGGGATTAAGCACATCCATTCACCTTGTTACACAACCATCCCCTCCCATCCGTTGCCAGAACTTCACCGTCCCAAGTCCGCGCTGCTCCCGTCACACACTAACTTCCCCAGCCCCTGGCTCCCACCACCTACTTTGTTTCTATGCATCTGACTCCCCTAGGGACCTCCTGCTATGACTGGAATCACACAGGATGGACCTTTTGTGACCGGCTTATGTCACTAAACATAACGTCCTCAAGGTTCATCCACATTGTAACCGGGGTCAGAATTTCTTGCTTTTTAAAGGCTGAATAATATTCCACTGTGTGGATGAGCCACACACTCTGTGTCTCCATTCATCTCTTGATGGACAGACACACTTGGGTGCTGTTTCTAAGGTTCCCCTTTTGCTTAAACCTTTTCCGGGTCATTTCTGTCACCTCAACCCTCAAGTCCTGGACAATTCATGAACATAGTCTGATGATATCAGTACTGGGACCAGGCTGGCTGCTCAGGAAGTACAGTTCCCTCCTTAGGTCCTGGGGCCTGTTGTTTGCCACCCCCCACCAAGGGCACAGGGTGTGGCTCTGGGTCTCCAACCCCCTTAACCCCAACTCTGCATCTCCTTGAAGTCTCTGCTTCCAAAATGCACAACAGGGACCCCAACCACCCTCACCTTGGGACGTAGCTGCTTGAGGGCTTGGTAAATGACACGAAAGGCCAATACAGGCAGGGTGTTTAATGACACATTCAGCAGTATCACCAGTAGGATGCAGGGCTGGGACAGCACGTTTCGGTCAACATCTGGAAGAGACACAGCAGGGTCACAGCCTGGCCCAGGGTGGAGCCTCCCAAGAGCCTGCTCTGTGCTCCCGCTTCCCCATACCCCACGCCTCCCTCCTCACCCTTCACCCCCAGGATGCCTGTGTGCAAAGTCTCTAAAGACACAGGTCCCACCCATCTCCAGGGCTGGCCACCCTATTTCCTGCTTAGGGGCTCACATAAAAAAGGAAAGGTCTTGGGGGAGATTGTGAAGAGCCAGAAGCTCTGGCTGGTCCAAGTTATGACCATGTAGAAGCAGAGGCTGAAGACAATGGCCAGTACGCACAGAACCGTCCAGTATTTGATGATGAGGATGACCTGAATGGAAAAAAGGAGGGTTAACCCGGGGGGGCTAGAAACCCCAGCCAAGGCTCTATGGAGGAGGTTGAAGGGTAGCACCTGCTAAGGCCTCTCAGGCAGGGTCAACCAGGCAACGAGGCCTCCATGACCTATGTCCAAAGTCCCAGTGGGGGTGGTTGGGCAGCAGCCCTGCCTACCTCCATGGTGACAGACAGCAGGCCTGACAACGCCATGACCGTGGCAAAAGACTGGTAGTCGCTGAGGGGCCCAACAGTGTCATGGCTGATCCACAGGGTCATGAAGAAGTTGACGAGGGATGTGGCCATGCCATGGGCCATGGCTTGGAGGAAGACCTGGTAGTTGAAGAGCTCGTCCTTTTGGCCAGCGATGTACAGCTGGGGCAGCTCCAGGCTCTGCTCATCGCTTACATCCTGGGGTGGGGGTAGGGGATTCTGGCATTGGTCTCATAGCCACATGCATGCTTGGCATGCCTGAACCATGCACTTGAAAACAGTGAGATGATGAGCTTTGTTATTGGTGTTTTACCACAATATAAAAACTTTTTTAAAAATTGAAATACAAAGTCCCATCCTTCAGGTCACACCGGGCACGCCTCAGGTCTGCATCATTAGCCACTGTGGCAGGCTGGTGGCTCCCACCTGGACCGCATAGGCATGAGACACTTCCATCATCCTGAAAGCTCTACTGGACTGCCCGAGCCTGATCACACAGCCAGAGCCCTCTCAGGGAGGCGGCAGGGTAAGCAGGAGAGCCCGCTCTTCTGATCCCCTCCCCACTGCTGCACAGGTCAACAGACAGTGGCACCGAAATTTTGGGGCAGTAGCTGGGCAAGAGGCTTCAACCACTACCAGGCAGGGACTCTGTGAGAACAGGACAGAGTAGTGGTCTCCCAGTCCTGCCGCCTTCCAAACCTGCCCCACCCCAGTCCCACAGCAGAAGAAGGTGGGGTAGAGACAGGAGCATCTACAGAGGAGAAGGAGGCAAGCCCTTGTCCTGCTCACCTGCTCAAAGAGCCCAATGTACAGAACTGGGAGGGTGGTGTACAGCAGGTTGAAGAGTGCCAGAAACCAGCCTTCATACAGGGGCTAGGGAGGGAAAAGGGTGGGAGAATGTGGTTAGTGGTAAAGCCTTTGGATGCCAAATGGCCAGAAATGGAAATGCTCTTTACCTGAGGAGACCCACTCAGGCTGGCTGAGCACTGCGGGGAATTTCTGGTGAATTAGAAAATTGTGTCATAATCAAAGATTGAGTTACGTGAGGCTGGAAGATAAAAGGCAGAGAGAAGCAGCAAGGTCTAATTATTTTAAAACAGCTCCTTTGAGTGTTTAATTGGAGAGCTGCAAACAAAGAGCTACAGGAGGAAAAATGGCTAAAAAGTGTGGTTTTGGGTCACTTCAGATTTAGGGAGCCACTGATGGGTAAAAAGAGTTGGAAGAGACCCCCACCAGACAATGAGCCCAACTTGATGTATGAATCCAGTCCGGTTAAATGATATAGGCGGTTTTCAGTTCCAAAAACCATTTTATCTGCATCCTGTAAGTAAGCAAGTAAGTTACAATCAAGAATTTTACAAGAATCAAGTTGCTCACTGCTGAAGGAGAAGAGTCATGAATGAGTACCTTGGAAAAGCTAAGCGGAGCCTCGTCCTGTGAGGCTGGAATCAAAGGCATCAGTACAAACTCACAATTTTTTAATATACACAAGACAGATGGATGGATAGACACACAAATAGAAATAGACATAGAGATGTTTCCCTATCCATGCACTAGTATGCGTTCATTTCCTAGTTCTGCCTGCTTGGAGGGTAATAGCAACCCAGTAGCAATGAGCACACACCAAGTACTTAGCTCTTGGTGTCTAACACTACCCTTCTCTGATGAAAAGAACCAGAGCTCCTCATAGGAGTGGCTGATTCCAGGGCTGGGGCAAGGAAAGAACAAAAGGAGCTCAGAACCTCCTGTAGCACCAGAAAATGAACATATTTCTCAGGGGAAAAAAATAGGCCCATGTTGACAGGATAAACTGGGGACAATTGGAGCAATGAAATACACAATAAAAAAAATCCAGGAGTCCATATTGATAAAAAATAAGTAATTTCATAAATAAATGAGGGATAAGGAATGGTTGGTTCTTCCAACAGAAGCATGCCAGTTCACAAATGTGGGGAGGTGGAATGCTGTCCTCACTAAGAGAGGGGACAAGACAAGGGTGCTGGCCCTCGCCATTGCAGGGATTTCTAGCAGAACAATCAGGTAAAGAGAGGGTATAAAAGGCGTCCAAGTTGGCAGGGAACAAAGGGAAAACACTACTTTTACTTGTAGATGCCATGCAGAAAGTCCCAAAGGATCCACCAGAAATCTCCTAGAGCCAATAAAAAGAATCAGCAAATTTGCAGCTCACAGATCAACACACAAAAAGTCATCTGTATTTCTACACACCAGCAATGAGCAATCCCAAAAGGAAATTGAGAAAATAAATTCCATGTACAGCAGCATCTACAAGAATAAACTATCTAGAAACAAAATAAAACAACAATATACACTTATCAAGGGTGACTCCACAAAGCTCCCTCTCAAATGCCCGGGTATCAGTACCAGAGAACTCCCTCCCTATCAGGGCCATTTATTTTCAGACTACTTTCCTTACACACATAGGAAATCACCACCCTATGACTCCTTTAAAACTCCAAGAGACACGTCTCTTCACCATTGTACTGTCAGTGTCCTGCCGACAGGAACCCAGCCCCCGCAGTTTTCTCGGGTTCAAGCTTTCCCTCTCTCCCCTAGAAGGACCCACCCTTTCGAGCATCTGCTGCCCGGCCCTGGCTTCAGAGCTCAAATCTACCAAATACCCGAAAAACGTTGGGCACAGAGCTAAGCAGGAGTGGGCCCCTCCCTTTATCTGGACTCTCTGCAGCCATAGAAAAGGCTGCATGGCTCTGCGACATCAGGCAAGCCCTGACCTATAAGGACCCCAGAGTGTGAGAGGGCAGTGCCCCCCATCCTCTTGGAAGCCACCGGAAGAGCACAGCACCCCCACCCCCAAGAATCCCCAAAGGGCTGTTCCCTCCAGTGCACCTGGGCGGTGAAGCCACTGTAGAAAGCAAACCAGATCTGAACCATCATGATGGCCAGCGTCTTGTAGATGAAGTAGCGCAGGAACTTGCAGACTCGCATGTAGGACCAGCGTCCGTGCACGAGCAGCAGCCTCCTCAGGAAACAGAACTGGGCCAGCATGTAGTCGCTGCTCTGCACCGCCTGCATGCCCTCCTGGCCCGCCAGTCCTACGCCAATGTCCGCAGCTGCGGGGCACAAGCAGCACGTTGGCACCAGGCCACTCCCAGCCTGCCGGAGGCCGTTCCCCAGACCTGGTGCCACCACCCACTCTTAATCATGTTGACGTCGTTGGCACCATCCCCGATGGCCAGGGTCACTACGTTCTGGTATTTCTTGACCAGCTTCACAATCAAGGCCTTCTGCTTGGGCGTCACCCGGCAGCAGATGACCGCTTGGCACTTTGAGGCCAGTTCCACAAAGGCCCGTTCCTGCCACACCTCGGGGCTCCCGACGGGGTTGGAGTTCTTACTCTTCAGCATCAATCGTGCTGCGCTCTTCATCAGCTGGTCCTGTCCAACAAAAGGTGGGGGAAAGGAGCGCATCACTCTGGTTGCACCCCTCCCCTTTGTGAATACCCGCGACTGGCCACTCCTGCCTCCTGGCCTCCTATTCCAAACCCCGGTCTAGACTTGACCGCATGGGCTCTAGTCCCTCTGAGAACCATCTCCTGGCGTGGCATTCACTTCACTTTGGCATTTTGAAAAGTCCACCCCCACCCGCAGTCAGCTGCCTCTCCCAGCCCCTCCCACATGCCAGGGGCCCCACGGTCAGGCCAGAGCGGACACTGACCAGGAACTCTCCAGTAACGACCATGGCGGCCATCTTGACTTGCGGCAGGTTGCTGCTGTTCTCCCTGTAGGCTTCCAGGGTCTGACTGCAAGGACGCAGCTGGGGCTCAGCCATGCCTAGGCCCAGGTTTCCTCCCATCTCCTCACCCTCAGGTTCCCTCTCTGGGAGTGCAGCCAGGTGAGGACACTCTGCAGACCCCCAGGACCACACCTGGGGGCCATGGTGTTCACCATCCCCCACCTTTACCCTGCCCCCACCCAATTCATCCACCTCAACACCTGACTCCTTACACTATTTCTTCCTCTTCCAGAATGCGCATGTCCTGGGAAAGCAGTTGGCAGGCAAAGCCAATATTCACCGCTGTCTCTGCAAAACAGCCCCGCTCAGTACCACGCCCAGGGGCCACGCCCACCCACTTTGTCCCACCCTTCGGCTACAGCAATTGGTTCAGAGGAAGCCTGAGACTTTGGCTGCAGGTCTGAGCAAAGGAGTCTGCCTTCTGGCAGGCGGGGGCCCAGGCCAAGGGATCATTAGTCCTATCGTGCTGGGGCCCACAGGCAGTTTTAGGAACCCACAAAAATGACTTACCATTAACTTTAAAATCAGAATAAAAAAATGAATATGTATTCCAGCCTGGACATTTGGCTTTATACCAACACAGCTGTAAAACATTTTAAATATTTTGTGTGGATGTGCCTCCCACCCACATCAGTGCTAATGTGGACCCTGTTGGACCCCATGCCCAATGAGGCCCACAGAACCCACAATGGGATGGGGGAAAGTCAGTGACCCAGGGCCACAGGGCCAGGGGTCCATGCCAGCTGTGTTTATAGGTGGCTGGACAACCTCCAGCAGGTGCCCTGAGGTCTCTGAACTCAGCTGGGCCCACCCAACACAAGGGTAACAAGGACCCAACTCATGGTGTTGTCATGAGGGCCAAATGCTCTGGAAGTGCTCGGCACAGTGCCACCGGCCTCAGGGAGGCTCCTGGAGGACCCTGGCAGTTCTAATCATCCTGTTTCCTTCTTCCCCAGGACAAGGTGGGGGCCAGGGCTAAAGCCAGACTAGGAGGACGGTCTGATGGCGGTGCTCAGGGCATATATGAGCCCTTTCCTGCCCATTGATGGCCACCCCGGGACGTACCTTGCTTGTCCCCTGTGAGTACCCACACTTTCATGTTCCCTTGCTTGAGACACTGGATGGTTTCAAGGACACCGTTCTGGAGCTTGTCTTCAATGGCTGTGACTCCCAGCAGCTGGGGGTGGTAGGGGGGTTAGGGGCAGAGAACAGACTGAGCAGGGATCTAGCTAGCCCTGGTTTGAGTGGGAGATCCAGGGTCCCGCAGCAGGCTGGAGCCAGGGTGCTGGAGCCCCCAAGCCCCCTGTGCCGCGCCCACCTGGAGGTTCTGCTCCATCTCCTCGTACACCTGGTGCAGGGCCTGGGCCCGGTTCTGAAGAAGGATGCTGGCCTCCCGGTGCCGCTGGCGCCACTCCTGGTACATGTCCTCATCCACCTTTTTGTAGGCCAGGCACAGCGTGCGCAGGGTCTGCTCGGCAAAGGACTGGGGCCGGCCAGGCGGCAGGTGCCACCCGGTCACTATGCTGCATCGCAGGGCACTTGTCCAGCCAGCACTTCTCTCAGCCCCTCCTCCCTCTGCCTGGGCTCTCTGAACCTTGACTGCACTTCCCCAGTTCTTAGTCAGAGACCAGTTGTCTGCCTTGCGCTTCCCCTCTTGGCAGAGTGGGCACTCTGAGAAGTCCTGAGTGGGGGGCCCAGGGCAGTCTTTGCACAAACACGCCCCTTGACCCCTATGCTGGGTGATGCCGGGGACCCAGCAGAACCCTTGGGTAACCCCAAAGGATTAGGACTGGACTATAGAGGAGTAACCCAGCATGACATGTCAGCTCTTGTTAGGGTCAGGCAGGAAAGTGTCTCTGGAGATGGCGGAGCCCTGAGGACCAAAAGATCCTGAATGAAGCAGTAGAAGAAGGTATCCACGCAGAGGGAAAACAGTGTGCAAAGGTCCTGGGGCATCACTTGAGTATGGGGAAAATTGCAAGCCAGAAACTGGGGTCCTGGGGAACACCCTAGGGGGCAAGGAGAGCCAGTCTCGAGAGCCCATCAGGAGACACAAAGTCTCAGCTTTGAAAGCTTGGCTGAGCAGTTTGGGTTTCACCCAGACAAAAGATTTGGGGCCAACTGTGTCAGAAACCAGGCCTGGTTGGGAGAGGTTGGGGGTGGCAGCGGTGTCCAGGGCCAAAGCCTAAACACAGAGGGTCCCTTGTGTCACTTGAAGAAAAAATGCCCCCTCTGTGTGGGTATAGCATGGAGTTCAGCACCCCCTTCCCCCGCGCATGCGTAAAGGGGTAAGGGCACAGCCAGGACAACTCCCTCCTCCTCCACCCTCCTTCCCTCTATACTTCCTCCCTCCCCTGCCTCAACCCTTCCTCCTGCAAAACAGTCTACCCACCCTCCTCCTGTCCGTCCCACAGGAACTCACGGTTAAAGCCTCTTCCGTGGCCACTTTCACGGTCTGCTCTTTCTTATACAAGACTTGCTTACGCAAGCGTTCGAAGAGGACAGTGTCTGCGCCTTTGGTGTAGAGGTAGATGGAGCCCTCCGGGTTTCGGACTGTGAAGGGAGAGTCCCGGCTGACCGCAAAGGCTCCCCTTCAGGCCCGCCTCCGTCCCCGCCTTGGCCGAGGGCGCTCACCCAGCACAGACATCCGCTTTCGGATGCTGTTGAAGTCCATCATGGCCAGGACCTGGTACACCCGCTCCTCCCCCAGCTCCATTAGCGTGATGCTGTCCCGCGTGCGTGCCAGGAACACGTAGCCGAAGTTCCGGGCCGCTGTAACCAGCGCCTCCTCATCAGGGGAAGCTGCCTGGTACAACAGCTGGTCTGGCGAAGGAGGGGACCATGGGAGCAGGATGGGGGAGGGGGGCATTCGCTGAGGATATGCTCTCCCTTTTGGGGACCCACGACCCATCTCTGATGCCCAGGGGAAGAAATGGACACAGTGGGGGGTGTTCACCAGATAATGACAAGACAATGGTCTCTTGGGCCAGTACAACCTGTAAGCCGAATGAAAGGAGGTGGGCACTCGGGTCCTAGTCTAGATGACCCTCCCCCTCCCAGCTCAGTAACAGATCTCAAGCCCCAGGCCTGAGCCCACCTGCCAAGCTGAATGACAAGAGCCCTGGGCCTGGACTGGACAACCTCTAAGGCCAGAATACTGACTCAGAAGCCCCGGGACCTGGGCAGCCAGTGAAGCACTCACCGTCTTTCTCCTCCACCATTACTGTGTGGCAGATGGCCAGCAGGCGCCAGAACTCCTGCACCATCCTGTCCTTGTTGTCACGTACAACACTCAGGAGCTTCATGTTTTGGAAGAGCAGCTTCCCATCGGCAAATTCGTTCCAAAGGTAGGGGTTCTCCTTAAATAGGGCCTCCTCCTCATCGGGGCCATAGACAATGCCATCGATGCAGCACATCTTGAAGGTCATGATGTTCTGTGTGAGCGTGCCCGTCTTGTCTGAGAAGATGTACTCCACCTGGCCTAGCTGGACATTGAGGCTGGTGCTGCGGGCTTTGGCAGGCATGTCCTGGGGCTCGTAGTACATCTCCATGTCCCAGTCAATGAAGATGCTGTTCCCCAGATAGATGAATTCGGCTCTGCAAACACAAGTTGGGTCATGCCCTGGCCCATAGCCCACCAGAGTTCCCACTTCTCTTAAGCTAAGTAGCGGGTAAGAGGAGGCCCAGGGACTCACATGATGAACATAGCCATGGGCATCATGACGCTGAGCAAGACGAGGAAGCCCAAGAACATGAGGAAAGTCTTGCTGGTCACACTGTACGTGTGCTTTTGAGGAACATAGTGGTGCTTGACCCTGAATTTCATCACATTGCTCCAGAAGCCCAAGGTCAATGCCAAAGAGATCAGCACCACGAACATGAAGATCTGCTCAATGAATGGGAGACGGTGGAGTATGTGGAGGGACCCAGGGCAGCACTGAGACACCACAGTGTGAAAGACAAGAGGGAGAGGGGAAGCCCTGCCATCCAAGCGCTGCCATCAGGATGGTGGAGAGGGACTGGAAGGAGGTGGCTGGCAGTCCCAGGGGGAGGGGACTCGTAGGGGTTTTGCTGGTGTTTGTGGCTGCTGTATTAAAACATTAAATAACTTCTATTTAAAAGGACAACTGACTAGGCAAAAAATTAAGATTGTTAAATAAATGTTCCTGGAATGTAGGTAAGCATTTTATTATCTCCTGTGGGTTTGGAAAAATGTCATGATTGAGATATTTTAAAAAATGTTATGATTATAAGATTCTTTGGCCTACAGACCTCTGTCTGTAGGATCAGGCTGCACACATTTTGCAGAGGAGGGAAACTGAGGCCTGAAAAATGACAGCTAGGGCCTCCGTCTATGGGGAGGGGCCCTTTCCCTTTCCTCTTCTGTGCCCCGCCCCCACCCAAGGGCAGGAGCTCTGGGCAGCTCACCAGGATCACTAGCCTGTTCATCAGGTGGTCGATCTTGGTTCTCTTCAGATGGATCTTGCCGCAGTTCCTCATGATCTTTGTGTCAAAACCTGCAAGATTTGCATCCAGCCATCTGTTCAGCCACCTGTCCCATCCTCCATTCCTCTGTCACCTTAACCCTCTACCCATCCATCCACCTACCGGCCCAGCCACCCATCCATCTACGTAAAAGGGTACAGGCTCCATTTCCATAGTTTTAGAACCCCAAGCCCCAAAGAAGCCATGCTGGGAGTCCCACATCTCGTGGCAGCAGACATGTGGCCACCAAGCCCTGGCCCTGTGACTTCTTGCCAATGACTTCAGGGTTCTCACCCACCCCCACCAAAGCAGCTCATGCTGCTGAGGCCCCAGACCAGCCCTACCAGCATAGATGACCATTCCGTAGCAGGTGTCTGTGTTTCGGATCTTGCAGCCACGTAGGAGGATGTTGCCAGTGTCCAGGGGGTATTTCTTGCCCTCCCACTCCAGGCACCCCATAAAGTAATGCATCCGACTGTTGGGTGCCTCGCACACCACCTTGCCTATGGGCAACAGGGCAATCAGGGAGCCAAGAGCTATGGCTGGGTGGGGTCACCCCTCTACAGTGCAGGGTGGGGCAGGGGTGTGACCCCAAATTGCTCTACTGGTACCTCTATCCTCCTGCCATACAGCCTCCTCTCCTGAATGCTTCAAAAGCCTGCTCTGTTATGCCTCAGGGCCTTTGCGTATGCTGTGCCCTGTGGCAGGACTCATCTCCTCAGGGAAACCCTCTCTGCTGATCCTCCAGTCCAGTCAGGTCCCCCCCTCACTAAGCCCCCTTCCTCCTGATTATCATCCTGGGACGTCACTAGCCAGTTATGTCTGCTGGTGGTGTCTTAACCACCTGTGAGTTCCATGAGATGAGGTGCCAGCCTTGTCTCCATCATGCTGGGGGCCCTGGGACCCAGCCCAGCACCTGGCATACAGTGCCTGGCCCTCCCTGTCAGTGAGGCTTTTCCTCAGATATAACGAAAACAAATGCAACTACAGTGTTTGAATGACAGGAGCAAAAGGGCTGTCGTTTGAGAGAAAGATGCTGCTTCAGTACCAACTAGAATAACTTTCTTTGCAACAAGACAGGAAAAAGTAACGCATCCCCCTGCTGGGCCTCTGGGAAACAGTAGTTGTAACCCACAGGTGTGAATTATCTCGCTTTTCAGGTGGAAAATAAGAATATACCACCATGGATGGGCCAGTTCCCTTTCTCTGTGCACACAATAGGCTGTCTTTTTGATTAAACAACCAAAAACATTTGATTTACTATAACCAATGTTTTAAAAACAAAACATCACGCCTGATAAAACGGTGCATGTTTTGTAACAGTAACAGAAAACCTGGACTGTTACATGGATTCAAATGACATGAAACAGGCCTGGGATAAGCTGGCCCATTAAGAGCTATGTCAGCCCCCAACACTCCCCAGCAGACCCCATCACCATCCCCCAAAACCCAGTGAGGCGGGGAACTTTCATGCCCATTATATAGAGGCGCAGATGGAGGCCCAGAGAGAGTGGGCCAACTGCCCCCTCTCACCTTGGAAGGAAGCCATGTTCCTCACACTGGTCAGCTCGTGATGTGTGACCACTGGGGCCTGCCTGTACTTCAAGTTTGTCTCCCTGGTGACGCAAAGGGGATCAATGCCGGAGGTGGGGATAGACAGTACCCAGGCAAGGCACCCCCAGCCCCTTTTCAGAGAAATGTTTTCACTCAAACATTTTTCACTGAGCCCCTACTGTGTGCGCCAGCTGCCACAGGAGGCTGAGGCCCAGAGACAGAGAGGGTCTGGCCTAAGGTCACACAGGACATTTTCAAAATGGATGAGGTCAGACCTCAGGCCTTTTCACTCGGGGCAGCTACACCTGGAGCAGAGCACAACCTCCAGAAATGTTGGTCCGAAGAAGGTGGGTCCTTTGTCCGATTTAATGTTATTGCCCCCTGCCAGCTTGCAGGTGCCCCACAAATGCCCCCAGGGTGAATGACCTAAATATCCCAGTGGGTTTGGGGAGCCACATTTTGTGGCTCTTGGGGAATGGGAAAGGCCTTGCTGGCTCCCAGGCCCCCAAACCCCGAATGAGGACCTGCGCCTCACCCATCAATGTCGGCCGTCTCCACGTAGCACAAGCTGCTGGGCTCCGTGCTGGCCAGCAATAGCACATCGGCCTGGGGTGGGGAGGGTGGGCGTAGGAGGAAGGAACAGCATTGCAGCAGGGGACCGGAGGAAGATAAGCGGGAAAGTAGCCCACCCCCAAGGAGCAGGGAGTTCCGGGCCGGGCTGACCTCAGCTCACCGGGACAATGTTGTCGCCATGCAGACGGACCAGGTCCCCCACACACAGGTCCTTCCATTTTTTACACAGAAATCTGTGGGGAAGGTGCAGCAGGTGTGGGAGAGGGCCCCAAGCCGGCACATCTTTGGAACCCCTGGCCCCTGTGCCACCGCCAAGCTAAAAGAACAGTGGAAGGTGGGGCCTGCAGATGCCCCTGTGGTGCTTTGCTTTCCTGCCTGCCCCTCTACAGGTCTCTAGGGCTGGAGGTCTCAGCCTATACAGGAAGTCCAACCTTCCCTAACCTCACCCTCTCCTCCCAGTTCTGTGTCCAAGTCCCTTCAGACCTTCCCTGCCTCCCCTTTCAGCTGAACTTACAGGCCTTCCAGGCAAGGGTTAATAATCGTGACTTCAGCCTGCTCCTTCTCGCAGAGCCCATCCCTAGCCTAGGAGACAGCAAGTGTCTAATAAACCCTGGATGGGTCCCTGTGTCATGCATCAGCCTGAACCAGGATATCCAACGGGCATGGAAGTTTCCAGGCACTCTGCTGGGCACCCCTCCCTTGCATGCCCTCACGTGTATGCACACAGCTGCGCTGGAGTCCCCTTCCTTGGATGGACTGCCCACACATCGCCAGAAGCCTCACCTCTCCCCGACCAGCACTTGGCAGGGCCTGTTGTTGACGATCCTGTCACTCCTATGTCGTCCCTGAGTCAACGGGGTGGGTCAGAAGGGTGGCCCACCCCAGCCATGCCCCTGATCCTGCCCCTTCACTGCCACGGTGAGGGTGCCGGTGCAGAGCATAGTTCCAGCTCCCATGGGCAATGGGAATGGGAATTTGTCCAGGGATCCTGGCAGGGGAAGGGGGTAGGCTGCTGGGACAACAGCTCTTGACAGCAAGTACCAAAGGGCCATGAGGCACCTCTTCCTGTTCCCTGTGGCAGCAAGACAAGGACCCCACCCTGCCCCCAATCCCCGCCCCAGCTGTCCCTTTACCCCACTTACAATGTCGTCCACCAGGTCTCGGATGGCGCGGATGACGAGGAGGCAGACGAGCGGGGCGAGGAGGGTGAACCAGGGCATTGTGGAGATGTCAGGGAAGATGCCCTGACACACGGGGGGGGGGGGTGTCACGCCAACCCGCCATCCCCGGCACTCCTCCCAGTTGCCTCCCACTGCCCTCTCACCCAGCCCCTCAACCTGGCATCCTGTGTCCCTTGTGCCCATACCGCCTGGCCCGGGGCCAGCCACCTCCGCCCCACAGATCTTGGGACAACTGCATCTCTATTTCCACTCCCCGCCCAGAACTTCTCCCTAGCAAACTCATCCGCCTTCTGTGCCCAGCCTCCGTGCCACATCCTCCAGGAGCCCCAACCTTGTTTCCTCCTCAGAGCCTTGGCTTCACTGTTCCCTTCCCTGTAACCCTATTTTCCCAGTTATCCTTCAGGCCTGAGCTCCAAGTCAACACCAGACCAGCCTAGGTTGGGGGGGTGGGTCCCCTTCCCATCACTGGGCCCTGCCATGTGGCTTCATGACAGTGGGTATCAGGGCCACTACTGATCCCAAGTGTCCAGCATAGAACCTGCACATGGTATGTTCATGGGATTGATGGATAAAAGCAGAGGGTCAGACCAGACATTGGGTGGGGGGCAGGGTGTTCTGTAAACTGTCCACCAAGTGAGGGAGGGAGCTGCCCAGATGGACATCTGCTCCACTGGCAGAGCCACTCACGAGCTGGAAGTGGCCTGGCAGGTTCCGAGTACCTGCTCTCAGCCCTTCTTTCCTTCTCACCCTCTGGGATTAACTTGGTGGGCGGGGGCCAAAGGGGTCATGTGGCCAATGCTGTCTGTCCTGGGGAGGGGCTGTGTCCTCGTCTGAACTGGGGGAGCTACTCATGCAGCTTCATCACTGAACATATATTGAGCACCTCCTGAGTGCCAGGCCCTGGGCTAGGCAGTGGGGATGAAGCCATTAGAGGGCCTCCAAGTGTGTGAGGAGACAGACACTGACCCTCCCACCTCCCCGCCTCACCCAACCAACCAACCAACCAACCAACCGAACAACAGCATAGACACACTTAACCCCGCTGTGTATCCACAGAAGTGTGTGTCAAAGGTGATCAGGGAGGACTGTCTGGAGAAGGCAATTGGAGCAGTTGGAAGGATTGGTTATATGTGCAAGTGCTGATCCCTGGGGCTGCCCCTCCCCCTGCCCTACCTGGAGAATGATGATAAGAAGGAAGTAGAGGTTGGACATTCGGCGGAACTGCTCATACAGGTTCAAGGGCAGGAAGGAGAAGAAGTTGTATTTGGCTGTGCAGATGATATTGCCCTGGAATGAGAGCGAGCACGGGGGTGCTGCCCAGGCCAGGCTCCACCCTGGCCTTGCCCTGCTCTTTGGCCACAATCAGCAATAACTGAGCATCCAGTGCATGCAAAACCTCAAGCCAACTCTACTGAGCTCCCGCTGAATGCAAAGCCCTCAGGCCAGCAATTAGTGAGTGTCAGCTGAGTGCAAAACTTTAAGCCAGCAGTAATTAAGCCCCTACTAGATGCAAAGACTCATCAAGCAGGGCTGTGACCCCAGTATTTCCCAGTGAGTCACACAAGCAGAGGGATTTTAGGTAGAACCTGATGGACCTATTGTACTTTGAAGGTTTAGTATTAACTTATTTTAATGTAAGCTGGGGTGGGGGTTGGCAAGGAAACACAGGAAAAATTCCAACACCAAACTGGCAATTTGTACATGATTAAAATTGAGGAGAGGGGTAGGCTGGGAGGGAGGAGGTAAGGGAGAGTAGTAAGGCTGGGACCGCCCACCTTGTACTTCTGCCTCTGCCAACACAGGAAGATCTTCTCCTTGAACTGGTTGTTGTAGGTCCTATCGTTGGCCTTCACCTCCCAGGTGAACTCTGAAACTAGCGAGAGCGGGGCTTCGGATGGGGCGCAGACACGCCACCTAATGATCCCCCAGAGGAGGGCTACTGCCCCCCGGTGGGGGGCCTAGGCACTGGGGGACACCTGACTCTTGGCCATGACTGTGGGAGCTGGTAAAGGACCACCACCCTGGGCCAGTCCCCAGGCTCAGAGGACAGGCCCTGGGAGATCCATTCACGCCCATTCCTTCTTCTGAGGGGATAAAAACAGGCTGCTTGCCATCCTGGGCCCAGCTATTTCAGGTCTGCAGCTCCCAGTTCCTGAGTCTAGCATTGCCTTGGGACTTGGAGCTGTTTGTAACCCAACGAGAATCCCATGCTGGGTCTGTGGAATGGGTTGGAGGGGTTCCCCATCAGCCACCCCACTTCTGCAATGCCCCCTTGGCTTCCTTCGCAGACCCCACATGCTGCCCCAGCACATGCACCTGAGTTCTCCTTCTCAAAGCCCTCGTCGTTTTCCAGGCTGCCCACGCTGCTGGTGCTGTTGGGGAGAGGGGCCCAAGGTCACACCCGAGACCCAGCCCTTGCCAGACACTGTCCATTAACTCTGCCCTCTCCAAACTGTCACCTCCCACTTTCATCAGCTTCCCCCTCCCTGGACTCTGAAGGTCTAGCCACTGGCTCTATGTCCTTCCTTGGGGATGGGGGGGCCTCCACCGGGCTCCCCCAGGATGAAGGGCTCTAACCCCCGGCCGCGCCTGCCCAGCCCCAGGGCCGTGGTCGTGCCAGGCCGCCTTCGCCTCCCGGGTCTCCCTGCTGCCCCCTGCTGCCCCCTGCTGCCCCGATTCCCACACGGGGCACAATACACCCAGCGACGAGCTCCGTCCATGTTTGCTGACTGAGCGCGCGGGCCCCGGAGTTGCACATTATACCACTGAGCGTGGATCGGGGCCAAGCCGCTCTGAGAGGTCGGAGCGTGGTCTCGGGGCAGTTACAACGCTGATGGAAGCCAACTCCAGCCTTTCCACTGCCTTGTTCACGGCCACTCCTTCAGTGCCAGGAATTTGTCTCACCGGCCCCCACCCCTGGCCCCCCAGCAGCTCTCAAGGCTGTTCCCTACGCCCGGGAGCACCCTTCCCGCGTGCCTGGCCAGCCGTCTCCTCACCCTGATCTACGCTCACGGCTCTCAGGCGAGCCCAGCTTGAACAGGCACCTCTTCCGGGCTCCCCCTGTGCCTGGGGTGTCCCTCATCCCAGGTCTCAACATCCTCTGTCCTCTGGCCTTCTGTCCCTCTCTGGGTGGCCGGCCCCACTGGAAACCTCCTGGGTGTAGTGGGCCTGTTGGAGCCGTTAGAGCCGTTAAGCCGCTGCCAAGGGTGCTGAAACCAGGGCCCAAGGCACGGGGCGGGGTGGGCCACCGGTGGGCCCTGTGGGTGGGGCCAGGGCAGAGGCCGAGCCTGGGAAGGTATCTGGAGTGGGACTGGCATTGGGGGCGCTGCAGTGGGTCTGGACGTTGCACAGCAGGGCAGGATGGAAGGGGTCTTAATACGCGCCAGGGTATTAAGGGGCCTGTCTTTTAGGGTCAGGACCTTATAAAGCTGGGTCTGAGTAAAGTGACTTGGGCAGGGCCAGTGCGGGACTAAGGGCGGAGGAAGGATGCACCTGTGCTTAATCTGCAGGTTCCTCGGCTTGAGTCTGAGCTGCCTGGGTTGTCACACCTCCTACGCGCAGGCGCATTGTTGGATGCTGGGCTGGGGGAGGCCGTTAGAGCCACGGAGACCGTCCCAACGTCAGGAGGAAACCCACAGGGTCCTGTCCCGATGTAGGCCCACTCAGCGGAAGGCCGGGGCTCTTGGGGGGCGGGGAGGGGTACAATGGTGAGGCTGCGACAGTCACCTGTTGGAGATGGGGAACTAGAGCCAGGGCGGGAGGGTGTGTGTAAGGGGCTACTAAAGTTAGGGTCCACTTGAGAGTTGGGGCTGAGGGGCACGGGCAAACTTGGGGGCACAGGGAAGGTGATTAAGCTCGGTGTTTCGTATTTTCACTTTCAAGAGCCCCCTGAAGCGTGGACATTAAGAAGGCAATAAGCTCTGGGCACTTTCCCCTTAGCCCTGGGGTCCCTGGCTCTGCCCAGTCCTCACCCAACAAATGGGATGCTTGTGTCTGACTCTGCCCTCATGCCTTCTTGCCACCTGGGGCTGGGCCCTGCTGAGGCACCAGCCTCACTGATGAGCAGATGTTGGGTGGGCGAGTGAATGAATGAGTGAGGAGTGGCCATTTCACCTTCCCCGTTGGAGCTACCTCTTTATCACATTTCTTTGGAAGCTGGTCTGCACATCCCGCCTGGTACCAACTCAGCCTCTCATTATTCATGCTCATTCACCCAACTAATGTTCACCCAGCCCTACCAAAATGGCTCAGGAGAAAGACCCTCGGGAAGGGGCTTTAGGAGAGACTTTTCTGGGTGCAGCTGTGAGGGAGGGGTTCAGGGGACCTGACTTCCTCTCTGAGATGGTGACAGCTGGGTGAGGGGCTTCTGAGCAGCAAGAAATGGGTTCCAGCAGGTTTGGCAAGCTGGAAGGGGTGCAGGCACTACACGGAGATGGATTTCTTGAAGCCACTGCTAACCACTATTTTGGAAAACTCTTTGACGGAAGAGGAGCAGTAAAGTAACGGGTTACAAGAACAGCCCCCGAGTGACGTGAGAGTGGCAGGGGCCTGACTGACCAAGCCCTGGCCCCTCCAGCGTCCCCAGGACCTGGAGAGGAAACCTGAGGCAGCCCCAGCCAGGAAGCGCCTAGGGGAGGGGCTCCCACCTCCTCAGCTGGGGATCCTGCCCTCTCAGCCTTTAGCAAAAGCCAGAGTGATGGGGTCGCAGGGGCCATTTCCTGGTAGCCTTCTTGCCAGCACCTTTGTGCTCCCAACATCAGGACCTGGGGACCCCAAGGATCGCCTGCCCCAGGAAGTTTTTTCTGGCTTCACTTTTCACTTTGAATAAATTAAAAGCAGGATCCTGGACAGCCATGCCCCCCCCCCGCCCCCCGCCAAGAGCCAGAACAACACACAAATGGAGTAGGGTTCAGGGCACTGGGCACAAACGTTTCCAGGGATTGGCGAAGTGGAACACAGTGGGCCGTGACCACCCTTCCCTCTCCATGGTATCTTTTCAGGCACTAAGCCCCTCACAGGAATTGGCTGCTGGCTCTCAACAAGGGACTGGAAGCAGGCTGGGGGTGGGGGGCAGCCTGGGAACCAGGGCTGGCTTTCCTGCTCCCTCCCTGGGGCAGATCCTGGCGGCAGGGACAACAATCACCAGTGTGTGCAGACGCCCTTGGCACCGAGAACACCACTGGACACCGCAACATCTAAAATCCACACATGTATTCTGTCTCTGTCTGGGCGTGGAGGAGAGGGGGTTGGGGCATTGGGGGGTGGGAGCATTGTGTGTGTGGGGGGGGTGCTGTGGGCCTTCACAGACAGCTCCCAGGTGAGGGCAGGGCTCCAGTGGGGCGTGTCCAGTGAAAGATGAAGTTCTCTGGAGATGGATGGAGGTGATGGTTGCACAACAATGTGAATGAATGTGCTTAATGCCACTGAGCTGTACACTTAAAACCAATTAAAATAGTACATTTTATTTCTATTTTACCACAATGAAAAAAGGTAGGGGAGACTTATTGGCTCTGGTAACAGAAACCTCAAAGGACAGTTGCCGCTGGGATGGCCTGCAGAATTGCGTGGAGTAGTGGAGCAAGATATGGCCACAGACCTGTCATGTTCTGCCATGCAGGCTGGAGGCATGGCTGCCCCATGGTTGACCTGTCCTATAAGAGGGCACACTTAGGGCACCTGGTAGATGATTCAGACTCAAGTCCCAGGGGAGGGCTATGATTGGCTGGTCTCAGGGAGGGCTCCCCCCACCCACTGCCCCGCCCCGGCCTCCTAGCCAATCACATTTCTCTGTCCTCACCTTCTGCTGCTGGCCTTCCCTCCACTTTCACACTGGTTTCATCCCGGACATGGTCCAACCTCATGGACACAGGCAAGAGTGTGGTAATTGCAGCGGCGGGGGGCAGTGTGGAGGTGGAAGTGGGTGTAGGGAGGGTAAATGATGATGGAAAAGAAATAAAATATTAAAAAGAAACTTGACAGAGCACGGTTGAAGGATGTGATTGGAAAAGCTAAAGTTCAGACTGCTCCATATCCAGTTACATTTATGTGTCAAACATTTTAAAATGTCATAAATTTTCCTCCTATTCTCCTGCCTGAAAAAGCCATCCGAAAACACAGCAGAGAGATTTGTAAAATCTATGCTCTTATCCAGTTGAACTCTAAAGATTTCACATAATCTCAGCCTCTGAACTGATTCATCAAGTACTTGGGATGCAATGCTAGCATTCTTTTCTGGACTGAATTTTCAGACAATGCTACTAACTATAGTTTTTGTAACAGCCCACAAATCTAACATTCTACCTGCAGCGTCAGTAGCACAGCTCTTAATAGTCTTTTCCAATAGGTTGTGCGTCTGTAACTTATTTTGAATGATGTTAAAATACATTCTTATTGTCATATTTTGGTTTTGTATACATAAGCGTTGTGGGGGGCTGAAAGGTACTGAAAACTGTGTGTGTGTCCAATCTGATTTGTTTGAATGTGATGTAGGAATTCAACAGGAGCTATAAGATACTTTATAAAATTTTACATTATAAAAACTATTGATGAAACAGGCAGTTTTTATACCATACAAAGTAAGTCTAATGACTGTTATCTAAATGGGTGATCTCAGTGAGCAAGGCTAACATGACAAACTAAAACATACAGATGGGATATCGTCAGCATCTAGAACATACATATGTCTTGTGACAGAATAGCCTCTATACATCTGATATTTATACCCATGGAAACGTGTGCTCAGAAAGGTCCCATGTTTTGTCATATGTCCAGAAACCATGTGAATAAAACTTTAAACCCACCAGGAAGGTTAACAGTCATGACAAGACTCATCATGATCTTGTGCAGATGTGACGCATGGAAGGAGGGCGAAAGTAGCCCTGATCTGAACTAGATTATAGTAATTGATAAAAGGGCCTTCAGTGCAAGACTGATTAACTATCAGCCCAGGTGAAGTTCGGACTCAGGTTGAGGCATGATTTCAACAAAGCAAAACGGTTCCAGGTGCAGCACGTATTGAACTCCTGCTGACCCGATCTTTTGCTGGAGAATCTCTTCCTCTGTGAACATGACCATAGGAAAAGGCTGCGTCTCTTGGGACTCAACACTTCTTTCAGCAGGCACTCTCTACCTCTGAGCTACCTGAACACTGGAAGAGAAAGTTTTGGCAGAGTACATATCTAGGTCACTAGGAAGGAATATAAGGAAAATTGTGAAGACAGAAGAGTACAGATGCCCAAACATCAGTGGCTGAAGGGTAAACAGAGTGCCGTATTCACGAGTTAGGTGTATTTTGAAACTCCCAGAGATGAGCGAGAGACATTTAATCCAGTGAAACATGGACACCAATTTCTAAAGTGAATTCATCTCATCCAGAACTGTCATGATAACTTATATTGTGTGGGAGGAACAAACTTTTCTCTATTAACTTTCTTTTGGCTGGTCTAATAATCAAATAAACATGAGACAGGTTAGCAAGAGAAAATAACCGAATTTAATGCATACATGCATATGGGAGCCTCATGTACAGTCAGAGATTTCCACCCCCCCACCCCGTCCCCCACCCCCCGACCCCGTCCCCCACCCCCGCCGGCCATGCACAAGAGGTTCAGAGACAGACAGGAAGCAGGGGTGTGTAAGACATCCTGAGCTAGGGATAAAGTAATGTACCTTGGGGGCTTCAGAGGGCCATTGCAGGAGGAGCGGAAGGGCGGCTGTTTAG